TATTACTGTACTGTGAACTTTCAGAGCTCCTGGGTACTCATTCCCCTTACCAGACCGTTGCTGGGGAGTTATGGTGACTTGTGGTGACTCTTAGCAGCAGAACAGGCCTGCCTCTAATGTTCCCAAGACTCATCTTTATGGAAGCAGACTGCCACATCATGGAGTGGCTACGAGTTCAAACTTTACTTTCGGGTTAGCAGCCGAGCGCGTGACCACTACCCATCAGGGCTCCTTGGTGTGTCCGTGATCCTGTGGTTCAGTGCCACTGGGTTGAGGCTGACTCAGCAACCCTACAGGAATGAGTAGAACGACCCCACAAACTTCCAAGGCTGTAAATCTTAACAGGAGCGCACTGCTCACCTTCTTCCATGGAGCAGCCGGCTGGTTCAAAACTTCCACTTTCAGGTAGCAGCCTGATACATTACACACCAGGCCACCAGGGCTCTTAGTCATTCATAGTCTAGTCTAAATATAAGAATCTCACATAAGGCCCCAAACCAGACACTTCTCCTTCCTTGTCTCTGAGGCCACACCCGTGTCTGCACCTAACCAGTGGTTGCCTGAGGGGAATAACTGACTGCAGTTTATTTCTGCTAATGAAAGCTGTCACATAGAAAAGCCAAAAAGGTGGGCATTTATGTTATCATTTTTGGCACCTCTGCAGGTACCATCAAATGTGAATCTACCTAATCTAGCCAGGCTATTTTTCTGTCAGACAGTTGTACGAGGATAGGTTTTGTAGGACTGCTGGGCCGTCTTTCATTCTGTGAGTGTTAAAAAGGATCCTCCTTCACTTCTACCTTCTATCAGTCGCCCTTTAAAAATTGGCTGTTCACGGGTTTCTCTAATGACATGGCAGGGAAGAGTGAATGTGTACAGTGTATGGCAGAGTTAGTGTTTACATTTTATGTATGTTGAATGATAAGAACTTTGTAACCTGCGTTTTGCTGTGTCTCCCAGCCAAGACACCTTTCCTCATCCATGAACTAGGACTTGGACAAATGGTCCCAGAGATGTCTTCTTACTTTACAGTTCAGTCCTTATCTCATGTCTTCTGGATCACCACTGGCTGTAATAGCCCTTCTCTTCTACAGAGCAGGAATATAATATAAAAAATTATTGGCAGAAAGCTTTAAGTTTCAAGGGTTACTGCTTTAGTTATTAGTATCCAGAAATTTGATAAGCAAGTCCAAGTTCATTCTCCTCATCTCTACCCATCATGTTAATTATACAGTTGAATACTTAAACAACACTTGGTCTGCTTTGCCATCTTCCATTAAACTTTAACTTTTTCCACTCAAAGTGCAACTACACAGAGGCAAAGACCAATAGCTGACCCTCCAGCCTCCAGCGGGTTTTTAGAGGCATTTAATCACATGGGAGGAGATTGCCCATGACCTCGAACCGTGTGCCTTCCGGATGTGTTTTCCTCCTTATAGCAGCTGATGAATTTCTATGCATTCCAACCTCTTCCTGATAGTATCATTTCTCTGTTGCTTGTGGATACACACTGGAATGGTAGCTTCCAGGACCTCTTTCTGAGATAAACTAGCACCTGAGAGGTCATGATACTCATAGGAGCTGCCCTGCTTTGTGGTATTTTCACATAATTGGTGCTATTTCTGCTTCCACAGCACAATAAAACTACTCTTTTTTCCCCAATGGGTGAACCAAGTATGATTATCTTTCCTGAAGTACATTTATGAGACACACACATGGGTTCATACATTTTGACTAAGGATGAGAAATTTCTGCTTTGCACAGGTTCCAGCACAAAACTTGGGTATTTACATAAATAAATATCTGTTTTCAAAGTACATTGTCAATTTTTGATTATCAAATAAATAAGAAACATTGAGCTGTATTCTCTACCCTTTGGGTCAAAAGCAATGTCTTAAATTCTTGAAGACTTTATAGTAGGCAGGAACTAGGTAAAGGGTTTGCTCCTTTTAGAGCAGGTCTCAAACTTCAATGTGTGTGAAGCTCCTCTGTGGTTTGTGATTCAGTAGTCTGGGCTACAGCGGGAGGTGAGGGCTGAGACTTCCCATTTCTGTCAGGTATGTTGTCAGGAGTGGCCTGTCCTGGACCAGGACATCATGTTTAGTAAGGTGCAGGTTCAGAGAAGGAGAGAAGACCCACAGCGAGATGGACAGACACAATGACTGAACAACAGGCTTGAGCACAGCAGGGATTTTGAGGATGGCACAGGAGAGGCCAAGATTCCACTGTGCTGTACAAAGGGTCATTGTTAGAGTTGAACTTGAGGGTACCTAATAACAACAAGCTCCTAGGAGATGCTGATGCTGTTGTTGTTGTGCACCATCGAGTCACAACTGAGCCACAGCTGACCCTCCAGCGGGCTTTCAAAGGCATTTAATCACACGGGAGGACACTGCCCATCTTTCTCCCATGGAGCAGCTGGTGACCTCGAACCGTGTGCCTTCGGGATTATAGCATAGCTTCTTGCCATTCAGCCACCAGAACTCCCTGCTGATGCTGCTAGTATGAGAATTATGAAACCACTTTACAGTCAACAGTAATGCTGTATTTATTATATATCTATGATGATATAACAAAAATTCTCACCACTGGACCAATCGGTAGCATCAGGATGGATGGCGAAGAGATTGAGATTGTTCACAGCTTCAGTTTGCTCGGCTCCATGGTCAACACTCTTGGCACCAGTAGCCAGGAAATAAAAAAACGTATTGCGATGGGAAAGTCTGTGGTTAGGGATCTCTCCAAAATACTCAAGAGCAACAGTGTCTCTCTGGAGACTAAGGTCTGACTGATACAGGCCATGGTTTTTGCATTCACTTGTTATGCATCAGAGAGTTGGACAATGACTAGGGAGGATAGAAGGAGAATTGATGCCTTTGAGCTGTGGTGCTGGAGAAGAGTATTGAATGTACCATGGACTGCCAAGAAAACAAACAGATTCATCATAGAGAGGATTAAACCAGGCTGCTCCTTGGAGGCAAGGATTCTGGGGCTTCGCCTGACATACTTTGGACATGTTGTAGGGAGAGACAGGTCTTTAGAGAGGGACATCATGCTGGGTAGAGTGGAGGGACAGCGCAGGAGGGGAAGACCCTCTATGAGGTGGATTGATTCAGTGACTGGGGTAATTGGGATGGGTTTGTCAGAGGCAATGAGATTGGCACAGGATAGAACATGGTTTAGGGCTGTTGTACATAGGGTCGCTATGAGTCCCAAACGACTCGACGGCACATAACAACAACAACAACGATGATTAAGGTGTATAACATTACATTTCCTTATTAAACTAGTCACAGTATTCTGCCAAGTATGATTACTGCTTTTTAAGAAAAGAATCTGGGGGAGCTCTGGTGGCCTAGTGGCAAGGAGCTGCAACTACAATCCCAGAGGCACATGGTTTGAATCCACCAGATGCTCTGCCTGGAAAAGGAGGGACAATCTCCTCCTGTACCAGTCAGATCTGATTTGACGGTACACTCACACAAAAATGAGAAGAAAAAAAAAAAAGGAAGGAATCTGGGTCTCAGAGGGACTGAGGAACTCGCCTAAGGAGATGACAAGATTAGGCAGAACTACATTTCAGATCTCCTCACTCCACCACCTACATTTTCTTAGCACATCATACTGCTTCTTACTGAAAAAGGACTGAAACTTATGCCTCCATGGCATGTTCTGTTCATTTGTAGAGGGTGTACATAGAGATAGGGATGGTTTTCCATCATGTTAGTAAGGTGTTCACAAAAAGACAGTGATTCTTTTATAAAACTGGAGAAAGGCTCAGGGTCACAGAGAGGAGTCATTTCTCTCTGAAGTTTCAAAACAATGAAGGGTGAAGTGGATTTGGTGTATAATAACAAAAAGGATGAGTGTGTGTTTAAGATAGTTCTGATTATTTCTTAATTGCTATTTTATTATTCATCACAGAAAAACACATTTAAATAAAATAGTCCAGAAAAGAATAATCCCATTTAAATAGAAGTTTAAATCCTTATATAGTTCTCTCTGCCAGTGTATACACTACAGTGCTAACTGAATGATACTCACTATGGTACTGAAGTAACACAGCATGATGGTCTTCAACAGAATGCTCCAACACTTACCAAAACACATACTTTCTTTTTCACAGAGCAAATGAAAAACAATGACATTATACAAACAAAATAGGCCTTTTAAATGTTAAGAAAAGTGGTACATTTTACAATAAACATACTGGGTAAAGTAAGCAGTCCCCAGATTACAAATGAGTTCCCCTTCTAAATCTATCTTTAAATTGAATTTGTATCTAAGTAGATATATTTAAGGACAGGGTTATGCCTACTATCAATTAGTCACATGTTTTAGTGTCTATGTACAAATATACTGAACCTTTATACGCATCAAAAACTTTAAAGAAATGTTTCTAGATACATGAACATATCTATAATGTGACCACATAGTAATAATGTCTGATGTGCTGCAAAATTGTGCCTATTGGTTATTATGACCTAATGTATTACCTCCAATTTTAATAAGCCTTGAGGTGGGGTTGGTTCCTAACAATTGTTGTATGTGAGTTTATAATCTGGAGACTGACTGTGTGTAAAACAAGACAGAGACAAAAGAATATTGGATCGCAGATGTGACATAGTTCCAGGCTTAGTTACAGAATGACAAGACAAAAAGCACTCAACTCTACATCTCTAACAAAACAAATACTTTATGTAGGAAAGACTCCCTTTGTAGTCTCTATATACATATTTCCACTTAATACTGTTAATTAAAATGATAATGCTAATTTAAATAAGAATTAAATAAACTGCCCCAAATGCTGATTTCATATCATAAAAAAACAGCAATTTAAATCACAACTTCCTCTTGATATACTAAATACAGCATTTCCTTAGACAACATTAGCAAGCATATTTTTAAGAATATATGTTCATTTATAGCTCAGGTAAAGCTTTATTAAACAGTAAACACTTTTAACAGTGCAGCAATACAGTTATGAAAAACATATACATTCAGAAGATCTGCTGTTCAAATAAGATTTTTTCAAAGCCAGGTGGAGGTGTATGGTAAAATTCACTGAACTGGCAATCCAAAATTGCACTGTCGTCAACTAGAGAACACAAAAAGAAAGAAATTAGAAGCAAAGGCCTTCATGTGAATGAATACTTAATTATGAATTAAACTATGCTCCCCTAATACAGTAAACATACTGTTTTTCAGGATACAACACATGATCCTAGTAGATAAAACAGTCACAACAACTAAAAAAATCCATTGAAAATAAAGGAAGATTACACATTATAATATTATTAACCATCTATGGATAGTGTGTTTTAAAAGAAAAATTAATATCTAATGCATTACCAGGAGTATGACGTTTTCTTACAGACTAAACCAAACTATTCAGTGTAAAGATATTTCCGTAAAAATTAATTGTGCTAGCGACTTTTCTCTTAAACAAAGTTATTAAACCCTTCTTTCTTCCTACAAGCCAGATTCACTAAATTTGAATTTCACAAGTTATGGCTTAGTGGTAGGGCACACTCTTCTGATCTGACGTCAGTTGCTCTCAGTAAATGCATGTTATGTTAGATTAGTCAGTGGTTTCTCATTCTTCTCTTTATAAGCATCATTGATCTAGCTCCTTTGAGTCCCATGGTTTTATATTTCTATAGGTAAATAGGATAACTGCTTAAAAATAAACCTTATGCTTCAAATTTCCTTGCATTTTGGTCAATTTTTAACATTTGCATAGGAATAATTTAAATTTTCTTCTTGCTTGCCTACCTATAATTTTTAAAAATTGTATTACTTAAAAAATGTTTTCTTTTGAAAAAAATTATAGATTGACAAGAATGTGGAATAATAGTCTCATTTATCTTTCATTCAACTTCTCCTAATGGAAATATATTCCATTGCTACCCCACAGTAACAAAACCAAGGAACAACATTGGCACAATCTAGGGGAGCTCTGGTGGCCTAGTGGCAAGAAGCTGCACTGCACTCCCAGAGGAACACAGTTCGAATCCACCAGATGCTCTGCCAGAGAAGGAGGCGCAATATCCTCCTGTACCAGTCAGATCTGATTTGACGGTACACGCACACAAAATAAAAAAAAATTAAAATTAAAAAAAAAAAAAAAAAAAAAAACAACAAAACATTGGCACAATCTGTTATCCAAACCACAGACCTTTAAGTATACTCATTTGTGTGTGAATATTTAGGTTCTAGGCAATTCTGCCACCTGTATAGATGTGTATAGTCACCAGCATAATCAAGACACAGAACTATTCTTTTCACAGCAAAAGAAAAGCTTTAGAGTTGTACCTTTTCTCACTCCTCTTGTCTACCCATCTCTATCCTCTGGCAACTAACTCCTAAGTTGTTCTCCATGTCTATACTTCTGTTATTTCTTTCTCCCTCAGAGAGGAGGGTGGATTCCAACTGCCAACTTTTCAGTTAGTATCCCAACACATAACACACGATGCGACCAGGAATTACTATCACTCCTTCTTTCACTTACTGTCATTGCTGCTGAGTGAGAACTGACTCTGAGCTAACCTCCTGTGGGTTTTCAGAGACTGTCATTTACATGGTAGGAGGCTGCTCATCTTTCTCCCCTGGAGCTGCTGGTGGATTTGAACTATCAGGGAGGTGCCATGTTTGGGTTAGCAACTCAGCTCCCTAGGAACTATGCCACCAGAGCTAAGGCTCTTGGAAACTTTATGAATAACAGAAGGGTATTGCTGGCTACATGCCAGAACAGGAGCCCCCAGGTTGGAAAGCACTCAAAATGCAATGGGTGAAAAGCTGCCTTCTCAAAATAGTTGTTGATTGCCTTCGAGTTGAGCACGACTCATAGCGACCCTATGAACAAAAGGCCTGAAGCCCCTCTACAACTATTGACATTTATCAAAGTTCAAGAGTTTCCGGAGGCATGTGGTTTAGGAAGTGGATGCCACTCCTGCTTCCAAACCTGTGTCCAGCCTAATGATATGAATGGAGTAAAGCTTTCACTCAATAAAGGACCTTCATTTGCTGATGAGGCAAGACTCAAAATAAAGAAAGACAGGTGTAAATATCCATTCATAATTGAGACATATAGTATATATAAGTATGAATGCAGGGAAACTGGAATTTGTAAAAAATGAAACAGAACATATAAAGATCAACATAGTTGGCATTAGTAAAGTGAGATGGACTAGTACTGGCCTTTCTGAATTAGACAATCACATGATCTTCTATGCCAGGGATGACAAATTGAAGAGGAATAGAGTAAAATTCATCCTCAGGAGGAATATTTCAAGATCTATTCTGAAATGCAATGCTATCAGTGATAACACCATATACAAACAAGGAAAATCTGTTAATACAACTCTCATTCAAATATATGCACCAACCACTGGAGCCAAAGTTGAAGAAATTAAGGATTTCTACTAACTTTTGCAGTTTGAAATTAACTGGACATGCAATCAAAAGGACACTTGGCCAAGGTGGCCCACATCAGGTCCTCCTAGCTGACAGGACTGACAGGCCCCAGCTCTCAGCTGGAAACAAAGGAGGACACTTCAATGATTTAGATCCTCCCAGAAGAGCCGTGGATGAGCATTAACATTACTGGTAAGTATATTCATTTTCTCCTGGACACAGAGCCTACTAATTGGTCCTAAAAGCCTTCTAAGGTCCCAACTCTTCTCACTATCTCTTAGTTGTTGGAATGGACAGAAAACCTCATAAGCAGTTCCTTACTTCACCTCTACCTTGCATATGAACTTCCGAGTTGTAAAACAGCCCAGTGGTAGATGGAATTTGCTCCAGGACTTAAGAAGCATAAATGACACAGCTGAGCCTCTACATCTTGTGGTTCCTAACCTCTACACTGTAACAGACAAAGTGCTAGTCTATAGGCCTTTTATTGTAAGAACCACCTTCCCTGTGTAACTTGATTTGTGCCACTACTAGAGCTTCTACTCAGAATATTATTGCTTGTTAATTTTTGACTCATGTACTTTTAACTTGTTAGTTAAATTTGTGTCTTCTAGGTTGCAACACCTCTATGATACATCTTCAAGGATATGAACATGTACGGCTAAGCACAATTAATAACAGTGCATCTAAATTCCAAAATCAATCTCCATAAAAGTCTATTTGTTTCCTACTGCCAAAGGGGCCCTTTAGAGTAGTGAGAGATCTTCACCCTGAAACCCACAGTGTCCCTTTTCAGCAGGAAGTAGCTAAGAGAATACGCCATCCCCTTTTCCTTATGACTCAGGGTGAAGTCTCTCTCAGGGAGGAGTGATAGGGAATGGCAAAGGGCACACTGACAAAGGAGATTTATCAGAACTGGCTTTGACAAGCACTGTGTCAACTGGACAATTAAAACAGACATGGGGGGGGAAGAAGAATGAACTGGGGAGGAGGGTAGAGAAAACAGTGCAACAATGAATGAATGAGAACCCAAAATCTCTGTAAATGTTCATTAAAACTAATAAAATTTAATAATAATTTTTAAAAAGTAAAAAAAAAAGGCACATTAATAATCACTAGTGACTGGAATGCAAAAGTTGGAAACAAAGAACTGGGGGGAAATGGCTTTGGTGGTAGAAATTGCATGGTTGAATGTTTTACAATCAATGATTGATTTGCTGCATACACCTTTTTTTTAAAGAAAAAACCAAACCCAACTAACTAAAACAATAAACCCACAAATAGTGACTATACATATAGACCTCACTTGATGGAATATACAGGAATCAAATTAATGATGGAAGAGCTCAAAATCAGCAATCAGGAAAAAGGTAGGGCACCAAAGTTGAACAGATCACAATTCCTCATATACAAATTCAAAGTGCAGCTGAAGGAAATCAAAACAGTCCACAAAACCAAAATACCACCTTGAGTTTATCCTACCTGAATCTAAAAATCATCTTAAGAATAAAATTTATGCACTGAACACCAACAACTGGAGGCCAGACAGCTGTGAGTTGACATTAGGGACATCATCCATTAAGAAAGCCCAAGGTTATTATCAAGGTTAAAGACAAGAAAGAAAGAAGAGACAAAACTATATGTCAGAAGAAATTCTGAAACTTATTCAATATTGAAGTGAAACCAAAAGGAGGAAATGAAGTAAAGAGAGTTAAAAGATTCAAAGGGTGGCTTGAGAAGACAGCAACATGCAATGAAATGTGTAGAGAGGGAGAGAAAAATCAAAAGAAACACACACTTGGCATTTCTCAAGCTGAAAGAGCTGAAGAAAAAAATTCAAGTTTCAAGTTGAAATACTGAAAGATTCTATGGGCAAAATCTTAAATGAGGCAGGAAGCATCAAAGAAGATGAAAGGCATACATAGAGTCACTGAACCAAAAAGAATTAGTTTACACTGAACCATATCAGGAAGTAGCATATGATTAAGAACTAATGATGATAAAAATAGAGGTCCAAACTGTACTGAAGGCATTAAAGGCCCCAGTAATTGATGTAAAAGCAATTATGTGTTCAGGCAACCGATGCAAGTCTGCAAATGCTCACTAGCCTAGAAATCTGGAAGACAGCTAGCTATCTGGCCAACTGACTGGATGAGTTCCATTTGTTTCCATTCCAAAAGGTGATCCAACAGAGTTCATAAATTAGTGATCATTATCATTAGTTTTACATGCAAGTAAGAGCTTGCTGAGGATTACTGAAGGGCAACAGAATAGTACGTAGACAGGGAACTTCCAGAAATTCAAGCTGGATCCAGAAGAAGAGTAGGGATATCATTGCTGATGTCAGATTATTTTAAGTGAAAGGAGAGTATAACAGAAAGATGTTTGCCTATGGTTTATTGACTAGGCAAAAGGCATTTGACTGTGGACTCGGATAAACTATGGCTAGCACTGAAAAGAATGGGAATACCAGAAAAGTCAATTGTGCTAATGCAAAATCTGTACACAGACTAAGAAGTAGCTGTTTGAATATAGCAAGGGGACACTGGATGGTTTAAAATCTAGAAAACTAAAGAAAAGGTCTGTGCCAGGGTTGCATCATTTCTTCATGCCTATCCCATCTGAAGGCTGAGCAAATAATTCAAGAAGCTGGACTATATGAATAATGATGTGGCACAGAGACTGGAAGAAGACTCATCGATAATTGGCATAATGCAGATGACACAGCTTTACTTGCTGTAGAAGATCAAAGATGATATATCCTTCAATATGGATTACATCTCAACATCAAGAAAACAAAAATCCTCAGCGCTGGACCAATAAACGGAGAAAAGACCAAAGCCGCCAATGATTTCATTTTACTTGGATCCACAGTCTACATCCATGATACTAGTAGTTGAGAAATCAAAAGATGTATGGCATTGGGAAAATTTGTTGTCCAAATTCTCCAAAGTATTGAAAAGGAATGATGTAGATTTAAAGACTAAAGCATGCCTGGCCCAAGCTATCGTTTTTCAACTGCTTCCTATGCATATGAAAACTGGATAATGAATAAAGAAGACCCAAGAAGAAAGAAATGCCATTGAATTGTGGTGCTGGAGAAAGTACTGCATATCCCAAGGGCTGCCAAAAGAACAAACCAATCTGTCTTGAATGAAGTGCAACCAGTGTGCTCTCAGAGACAAAGGTGATGAAATTTTGTCTCACTTACATTGAACAAGAGGGTGTGAGAATCCAGTCCTCGGAAAAAGACATCATACTTGGAAAAGCAGATGGTCAGGAAAAGAGAGGCAGGCTCTCAAAGAGATGACTGATATACTGACTGCAAAAACTAGCCCGAGTATGGCAGAGATCATGAGAATGGTGAGGACAGGGCAGAGTTCCAATCTATTATTCATCGGGTTGCTATGAGGGGTGGTCAACTCAATGGCACTCAACAACAGTTTCCTAAACTGTAAGAGAAATTTCTGTTTATTCATGCCGTCCATACCTGTGGTATCTCTGTTAGAGTAGCAATAGATAACTAAAATATCCCCTAATACAGAATTAGGGTTGTGAGGAGACTAAGGTGTGGTATAGCCCACCTTTAATCTTCTGTAACTACTTAGTGTATCATGTCATGGGAAATAATTACACAGTTTCCAAATTATATTATGGCATACCTTATTTTGAGAAAACAAAATCCAATCCATGACAGCCAGAAAGGATTTTTCAATAAGAGAGTAGAAGAATTTATGTGTGTTTTAGAAAGCTAACTCTACGTTAATGTATAGGCAATGGCTTATGAGTTAGAAATGTATGAGTTTTGAGTCACAGAACAGTTACAAGACTTACAAAGCTATTTGGTTGCTATATTAAGACCTAAATAGAATACTGGCAGTAAGAATGGATACCAGTGGCCAGAATGAAATATTTAAAACTGAGGGAGAAAGATGGGGAATATCTCCCCCTAGGAGATTTATAGCCTCGAACGACCAATTTAGGGTCAGCTATGAGGAGGCTGCCACTTGAAGACCCTGAGTTTTGACTTTTTTGTTTCATCTTCTATTAGCTGATGATGTGTAACAGGTAACTGGAAACATAGAATTTGGGGCAGAAGTATTAACTCTAGTTCTTCTATTTCTTCTTCATGAAGCAGTAGTTGAAGATGTGAATAGCATGATTAAATCAAGCTATGAATAGGAAGACTAGATCAAGATTAGACAGGGAAAGTGACTGGAAAGGAACGGCTAAGGAAGGAGGATGCAGGAAAGTGATGTAACAGAAGTTAAGAGGACACATTTCCAGGAAGGTGGCTGTCCTTAGAGCAGGACTACACTCCTCAGGGTAGTTTGCAGTGACTGATTTTTTTGAAGTAGATGCCACGCCTTTCTTACAAGGTACTTCTGAGTAGACCTCAGTCTCCAATCTTTCAGTTAATAGTTGGGCATATTAACCATTTGCATCACCCAGTGACTCAAGTAAGAAGTTATATGTATGACAAATAAGCCCAAGTATAGGCAAGGATGTGGAGAAACTAGAACTATCACACATTCCTCCTGGAATGTAAAATGGTCATGGTCCAAACACTTCATCAGCTTCTTAAGGACTTAAACCTACCACATAACCAGATATTCCACTCATAGTCATTTGCTCAAAAGAAACTGCTTTATATATCTGTACAAAGACTTGTACACAAATGTTCATTGTAACTGTATTTGCTATGAACCCCAAATTGGAAGGGAGCTCTGGTTCCTCAGTGGTAAAGACCTGCACTATAATGCAAAGAAATGTGGTTCAAACATGTACACACATTGACACATGAATGGCTAAATGAATTGTGAAGTGTCTACACAATGAAATATTATTCTGAAGTAAAAAGGCACGAATTAAAGCTGCAACCTGGGCAAATCTTAAAACTGTCCTTTCTTAGTCTAGGTTCTTTTACTCAGCATAAATTGATTTTGTTTATATAATATTCTAGAAATGTACATTAAGCTATACTAACAAAAATGAGTGGATGCTAAATTGGTGGTGAGCAGAAATGATTACAAAGGAGCTCAAGCATACTTCTGGGGAGATGAAAATGCTCAGTATTTTAATCATGGTAACAGAATTAATAAAATAAGGCAAATAAATAATCAGTGCAAAGTCAACTAGCATGAGAGGAGTAGAGCTGTAATGGGAGCGGCAATGGCTTGCTAAGAAAGGTCTACTTCTGGACCTAACTAGTACCAATGTGTATGCATTTTACAGTTACTTATTCAGTTGCACGTATAATGTTTCACTCATACATCTAGATACATTTTTTTGAAAAATAAAAGCAAGTAGTGGACTTGATATTTTTTAAATCTTGAGTGATTTTAAGAGGTTGCAAGGAAGTGGCAGTAACAGTAACAAGAATCAACTGAAAACCAAATAATACGACAAAGATAGTAGATAGAGACTATTCTGGAAACACAGAGTTTTGTCTATGGAGTCACACAGATAAAAGTAAGCACAGGGATGGCAAGTGAAACAAGTTCAAGGGAAGGTTGTGGGAGTGTTGGAAGAGACCCAAAATACTTGCAGGATTTGAAAAGAGCAAGGTGATAGGAGAGAAAGATAAAATAACAGACAGAGTGAAGTTTCAATGCTAAGAGGGTTTGAAATCTAGACTACAAATAGAGAAATCAGTTTTGAACATGAAGGAAACCACTTCTGGGATGGAATGGAGGGAGACAAGACTGGAGTTGACCCAGAAAAGCTTAGGGCAGTGCATAAAGTAGCTCACTCCTGATAAGCAAGGTCATTTGCGGAGAATGCCTGGGGATTTTAAGTAGCACATTGAAGTTCTAGAATGTGGAATGACAAACAATTACAAATTGCTTATCATTGAGTAGATTTCAACTTAGGGGGAGCTCAAGAGTAGATCAGTGTGTCACAGTGTTTTTAGTGGCTGATTTCTCAGAAGTAGATATCTGGACCTTTCGTCTAGGGTTTGAGTGGACTTGAACATCCAACTTTTTAGTTAGACGTTGAATGCACTAACTATTGGCATCACTCAATAACTCTGAGACCTAGTAAGAGAGATGACAGGAAGCACCCAGGTCTGGTGGCCTGGTCCACCGCTAGTCTAGCTGCTAGGGAGCTCTGGCATTCCAGCGGGTAAGGACCTGTGCTATCAACCCAAAGACAGTTGCTCCGCAAGAGGGAGAGGAACCATCTCCTCCAGTGGGATGTTCAGTCTCTGAAAACCTACCAGAGTAGTTATAAGTTGATTCCAAGTCAATGGCACATAACGACAAACAACCCAAAAGCTGTGCTATCTCTGGCAGTTCAAAAGCACCAGCAGCTCTTCAGGACAAACAGGGGTAGTTTCCTCCCATTGTGGTTTACTTCACAATAACCAGAGGAGAGAAGAGGAAGAGCAGAAAGAAAGCTGGCAGAGAAAGGAAACTTAATTGTCTATGAAGCTGATAAGAAGTACATGATGACTAATTACATTAATCTTCTGCAACTATATATGTTTGAAATTTGCTACAATAAAACATTTAAGTGATATTGAGCCATCTGTTAAGTAACTCAACTCTTGTTGATGTGTGTTGTCGAGTTAGAACCAACCCACAGCTGACCCTCCATTAGGTTTCAGAGGCTGTTAATCAAACGAGAGGAGAATGCCCATCTTCCTCAGAGCAGCTGGTGGACTCAAACCACATGCCTTTGTGTTGGCAGTGCAACTCCTTACCACTAAGTCATAAGAGCGCCTCAAAGGTTAGAAGGCAAAATTGTATAGCTATTAGGATAATAATGATATATATCCTAGGTTATCAAAAGCAAAACAATGGTTATAAAATATTTTTAAGTCACAATTTGTCTGAGAAAGAGTTTTAACATTAGATTATTTTATAAAGGCAATTGATCTCAATGTACATAAACTCCCCATCCCTAGTTCAAGATATTTTGATGATAGAAAAAGATTATATGGCTACTGCATCTTTAAATATCAAACCCAAAACCAAACCTACTGCCACTGAGTCAATTCCAGCTCTTTTTGGTTGCAACTGTGACCCTCCTTTGAGTTTCCAAGACTGTAAATCTTCAGGAAACTACCTAGTTTTCTTTCATAGAGCAACTAGTAGATTCGAACTGTTGACCTTAGTTAGCAAATTGGTATATTATACTAGGGCTCTTATATTTATTTATGTATAATCACATAGTAAATGCTTTGCTATGTTTGATACACATATAAACATACTATATATGTATGTGTGTGTATATACATATATGAAAAATACAATAAAAAGATAAACTCCCTTATTCCTGCAGGATGGGACCATAATATCCTACTGAGTACATTCCATAGAAAAAGTTCATAGTGACAATTTTCACAGACTTCTTTTTTCTCCTAGACTTCTAAATAAACTTTAAAAGGTCAAACAAAAGTTAGTATATATGTTATATTACAAATATTTTGGCTTACCATAAACAACTGGATACACAGTCCCTCGTATACCTGATGCTGGACAATGCATATTTTTTCCATTCAAATATACATTTAGTTCTACATGGTCATATGTAATACCCTGTGGAGGAAAGGAAAATACAAAAAAAAAGGTTCCATAAAAACTTGAACAGTCAGGAAGTACTAGTTGGGAAGCATGGAAACATGGACAAATGAGTAAGGAAAAGGTCATGGCAGGTTTCATTAAAGGTTGACAATATATCAGAGTCCTATTTGAACTGAGCTAAAACAATTAAGATTATATGAAAAGAAAAATGATATAAAATTTCAAAAGTCCTCCTAAGAAGTGAAACAAATGACCACAACTGAAAAGATAGTATTATATAATCCGGCCTTTTGAAGTCTGCCTAACTCATGCTCAATGACATCATTGCTCAATGGAAAATTTGATCTTGGATCTTGAGGGAAAATAAGGATATTTTAACCATCAAGACTTAACTGCCTGGCAGTTTTCTAGCTGTGAAAAAGAAATGTATTTATACAAATTATTTCCAGAAAGAAGCCATACATTTCAATGTCTCTTTACCCAGCTTTCAAATATGTCAAGTGCCTTACAGAGATAAAGCTTGTGTTGGCAAGTTAATATGATAATTAGTGTCAAGTTGAAAAGCAGAAAATAGCTCAAAGTATTAAAGCTTATGTATGTGTGTTTGTGTGTGTGTAAAAAAAATCATGAACACGACTGACAGCAATCAAAATCAAGTTGATTAGTAATAATCATCATGACTAAAGTACCAGAAAACATCCAGTCCATATATGCTCTACCAGTCTATTCTGTGGTTGTGGCTATTACGTACCATCCAGTGACTTTGATTCATAACTACCCTGTAACAACCCCCAGGACAGAGCAGAGCTGCCCAATGGCGTTTCCTAGACCATAATCTTGAAGCCGAATGCCTGGTCTTTCTTCCTCCAGTGCTGATTGGCTTGAACTGTTAACTTTTGGAAGGAGCAAAGCTAGAATTTAAATCCATGCTGTGTGGCTTCAAGGAGCTCAGGTGGTGTAGTGTGTAATGTATTAGGCTGCTAACCGAAAGGTTGGTGGTTCATAACCACCAGCTGCTTTTTGAGAGAAAGATTGGTAGCCTTCTCCCATAAAGCTTTCTAGGCCTCAGAAACCCGATGGAGAGGGCATCATGAATTGGAACCTACCTGAAAATAGTGGGTTTGGTGTTTGGCGAGTATGGCTTTGGAATAAGCGCTCTTAATCATTATGCCATACTACTTTTCTCTAAAACCTTATGACAGTTACTGAGTAATGACAAAACCGGATCTTTCCTCTTAACTATTACCAATATGTGGTAGAGTTTTTCTTTAGTCACCTTGGGGGAACAAAGGGGTTTTTTTGTACTTTTTTAATTGCAGAAAAGGGAAAATTGTATCTTAATTAAAAGTCTTGATTTCTGAACCTTTCTTTATTCTTTCCAAAATACTGTGTATTTTCTTAATTCAATAACTTGTATTTACCTTGTCTATGTCTTCTTAGGGAGCTCTGGTGGCTTAGTGGTAAAGAGTTGCACTGTACTCCACAGGAAAAAGATGGGTAATCTACTCCTATACAATTAACTGCCTCTGAAAACTTGCTGGAAGGTCAGTTAAGAGTTGGTTCCAACTTGATGGCACATAACAACATCATGTCTTAGAAGACACTTTCCTCGTTACTCCGTTTCCTTTCAAAATGATACCAAAACCAGGAATCTGAGATTCTGTGTATAAAGGCATCTCTGCTAAAGAAGACCTAGGACTCTTCTCAATCAATAGCTAATAGCCTGAATTGCGTATTTATGGTTCTCTGATAATACAATTAGAGAAGAAGTATCTGGAAAAGGAGAGAAAATGCCTCTGAATTACAGTTTCAACAGGGTGGCTTTGGTAGAGAATTAAAGATACCTAATTGAGAATGAAAACAGAGAAGTCTTAATAATGTATATAACTGTCTACTGCCTTGTAAAGGTTTTCTCTAACCAAGCCAGAATCTTGAGTCCAGTTCTCTGGAGAATTCTGAAAGCAAAGGACACATTTATAAGATTGAGTTTAAGGAGAACCAATTCTTGGAAAAAATGATGCAAAAAACAGGTATTCATAATAAGTTATGAATTAAAAATTATCTGTAAGCTATATCCAGCTTCAAAAAGAAATATTTTCTGATATATGAGTCAGCAAACTTTTGAAATTGTGAGCAGAGGTTCTGTCGGATGTGACAAGCAGGAAATGCTGATCAGCAGTCAAGCTGCCAATTGTTGTTAGCTGCTGTAAGGTCAGCCTCCAACGCATGGCCACCCACCCCATGCACAAGGGAATGAAATACTGCCCACTCCTGTACTGTGCTGCAATCAGTTGTGGCTTGAACTGGAATATGAGTTCACAATGATTTCCTTGACTGTGGTAGTTCTCATTCCATCCAATCCCAGTGCTCTGAAATTCAAACCACACACTTCCAGACAACGCTGTACAGAATAAAAGCCATTTGAGATTAATAATTCACAGTGGAAAAGAACTCCACGAGAACACTCACCACCACATCTCCTTCTTGTGGAAGGCTGTTTGCTGGCAGCCTGTTTTTTTCCTCGTTGTTGTGGTACAAGGCACCATCATTCCTCATTACTAGACTGTGCATATCTCGGCCCAGAGGAATCTGATTCAAGTTCACTTTCTGGGTTGCAACTCCAATGCCCCAGATTCCTAAAAATAAGGTAAGTTTAAATGTCCCCCAAATATGAAGAACACAAATATGAAAGGAAGAATAATTTTTAAAAGAGCACAAGTTGTTTTTAAAAGAAGAGGCATATTATCACTAAATTACATTTTATTAATTTTTTAAAAGCTTTTTGCAAACTGCTCTCTGCAGACATAGTACAGGAAATAGAAGTGTGGGCTCTGGAATTGTACCACCTACACTGAAATCTTGACTCAGCTGTGTCATCTTGGTCAAGTCAGCTAAATTCTCCCTGTCTCAGTTTTCTGATCTATAAACTGCAGATACTGACAATACTCACAGCTCCCAGAGTTATAGGAAGGCTAAGCCTGATACAGGTCATGGTGCGCCTGATACAGGCCATGGTATATGCAATCGCTTGTTATGCATCAGAGAGTTGGACAATGACTAGGGAGGACAGAAGGAGAGTGGATGCTTTTGAGCTGTGGTGCTGGAGAAGGGTACTGAATGTACCATGGACTGCCAGGAAAACACAGATTCATCTTGGAGAGGATTAAACCAAGCTACTCCTTGGAGGCAAAGATTCTGGGGCTTCGTCTGACATACTTTGGACATGTTGCCAGGAGGGACGGGTCCTTGGAGAGGGACATCATGCTTGGGAGGGTGGAGGGACAGCACAGGAGGGGAAGACCCTCTATGAGATGGATTGATTCGGTGACTGGGGTAATCGGGATGGGTGTGTCAGAGGCAGTGCGGTTGGCGCAGGATAGAGCAGGGTTTAGAGCTGTTGTGCATAGGGTCGCTATGAGTCGGAAACGACTCGACGGCACATAACAACAACAAAGCCTGATAAAACAAAGAAAGCACTTAGTCCAGTGCCTGGACAGAATATTTAAAAAAAACAAAAAACAAACCAAAAACACGTTTATCATATTAGTATATAAGATTTATTTTTTTTAAAAGCTACACATTCATTCACTGAATGGCTTAGAGCGCTATTTTAAGCTCTCCTTCTGAGAAGTAGGCAATTATGGTCTTTCATTTTTTTCATCCATAGCATGTGAAATAACACATGACATAAGGAGAAGAAAATGAAGGGTAAAGTATTAAGTGCGTTCCTTATGCAGTACCAAAAAGGCAGTAAGTGGAAACTCATTTTTGGCTGAAAGCTAGCTTCTGGAGCAAGCAGCAATTCCCTTAACCAGATAACAGCACAGTGAGGGCTCAGGGTTTGTCTCACAGTTTCCTTCCCAGTTTTGATCAAATCCAATTAGGGGAAAAAATTCTCTAAGTGGAAGATTACTTGAAGTTGCCAATCCATTAATTTCTCTGGATTGAATGAGGTTATCAAAAAGTCACAAGTTTGGATTCCACTGTCTGGTCTCCTAAACAATTTGACCATATATAATTAATCCTCTAAAGTGGGACACCAGTGCCAATGATAAACCCAAAAACCCCATTGCCATCAAGTTGATTCCAATGCATAGTGATCCTTCATTGGGTTTCTGAGGCTGTATATATATTTTTTTAATTGAGATTTTAATGAAAGTTTATAGAGAACTTAGATTTCCATTCGTTCAGTGTTTCATATTTTCCTCCCTGCCCAGCCCCCTCCAGTTCACTTTTCTCTTTGAAAAGAAAAAAAAAATCTTTCATTATTATACCTACCTCACCCACCCCCCATCTACTTTACTATATAGCTCTTATTCTGGACTCTTGTCATGTAAATAATACCAAATCATATATTTCTTTTAGACAGTTCTTTCCCTCATCGGTTCCATGCAGTGTACATTATTTATTTACTCTTAGTTCCTCCTGAACCCCCATGTCAGTCCTGTTTTATAACAGTGGCATCATGCCATATTAATCCTTTTGTGACTGAGATATTTTGCTCAGCATAACGTCCTCCAGGGTCACCCAGTTTGTATAATATTTCATGAGTTCCTTGTTTTTCAGTGCTGCATAGTATTCCATTGTGTGACTATATCAGAGCTTCTCTATCCATTGTTTGTTGATGCACACCTGGGTTGTTTCCAATTCTTTGCTGTTGTGAACAAAGCAGCAATAAACATGGGTGTGCCTATATCTGCTTGGGTGTCAGTTCTGGTTTCTTTAGGGTATATTCCCAGTGGTGGAATTGCTGGGTCAAATGGTATTTCTATTTGCATCTTTTTGAGACAGTGTGAGGCTGTAAATTTTTATGGGAGGAAACTAACCTCCTGTTACAACGCATCAAAATGTGGTGATGGTGAGGAGACTGTATAACAATGAAAGAACTTTTTTTCCCCAAAGAAAAAAACAAACTGGGGGGAGGGGAGGCAGGGAGGAAAATGTGCAAAAATGAATGAATGGAAATCCAATTTCTTCATAAACTTTCATTAAAATCTAAAAAAATAAAATAAAATGTGGTACGCACACGTTATGGTTTCTTTCTCCTGTGGAGTAGCTGGTGGATTCAAACTGCTGACTTTTTGGTTAGCAGCGATGCTACCAAAGTTCCTTGTGAAAATAATGCAAAGGCAGGAATTTGAATTTCACAGGACAATTGTAGCTAGGTTAGAGGGTCTCCTTCCTCTAGCGCTGTGCACTCTGTGATAAACTTATACACAGCTGCTTCATTAAGGGACCACTGAGCACTGAGAATACACCCTTTGCTAAAGATACACATACAAATTTACTCTTAGATTTAAAGCACAAAAAATACTTGATTCCCTCAAGCAGCAACTATTTTAACCTTCAGAAGACCACAGGAATCAGAGACATTGACATTTTGGAACCAAACCATAAAATAATAGAAAGGAAGACAGGTATAACTTCTCTGGAAGGCAGTATAGTGTTTTCGCAAAAAGTTAGAAATAGAAATACCATTTGACCCAGCAATTCCACTACTGGGAATATACCCTAAAGAAATCAGAACTGATACTCAAACAGATATGTTCACTCATGTTTATTGCTGCGTTTTTTCATAAATAGCAAAGAGCTGGAAACAACTCAAGTGCCCATCAGCAAACGAATGGATAGAGAAGCTGTAGTATATTCACACAATGGAATACTATGCAGCACTGAAATAACACACAAAGAAAGAACTCATGAAATATTATACAAAATGGATGATCCGGGAGTACATTATGCTGAAGGAAATATCTCAGTCACAAAAGGATACTTTTATTTACTGCATAATAACACTGTTATAAAACAGGACTGACATGGGGGTTGGGGAAACTAAGAGGGGATAAATAATGTACAATGCACTGAAAAAGATGAGGGAATGAGGTGCTTAAAAGGAATATATAATTAGGTATTATTGCATGGCAATAGTCCAGAATGATAGCTGCACAGTAAAGTGGACTGGGGCGGGCATGGAACTGTATAACAATTAAAGAATTTTTTGCTAAGAGAAAAGTGAATGGAGGAGGGGCAGGGAGGAAAATGTGTAACAATGGATGAATAGAAACCCAAGGTCTCTGTAAATTTTCATTACATTATCAGTTGAAAAAAACTGTAAAAAAATGACCAGAAAAAACAAAGGAAGACAGATCCAACTTACTCAATACACCTAAGAAAAGCAGTATTTAGATCCAACTTATTAAATACACATAAGAAAAGCAGTATTTAGATCCAACTTATTTAATACACATAAGAAATGTGGTATTTAGATCCAACTTATTCAATACACATACGAAAAGCAGTAGTTAGCCATATACTCAGCAAGAAATAATCAAAATACACACACACACACACACACATATAAACTTTGACAACTTACCAAACTGTAAAACTTGACTTATGTAAAAAGGTAAAAGTATGGAAATCAAAGTTTACTTGTAATTATTAGGGGCAAGGAGAGAGGGGGGGGGATAAGAGATGGAAATATCAGTCAATTATTGTAATTGCTGTAACTCAACAAGAGATGAGCAAAGGACTTGAAGAGACATGTCACCAAGAAGGACATTAAATGATCACCAAACATGACACGATGACCAGAAAGACACAAATCAAAGCCACAGAGAGATACCATTTCAGTCCCACTAGGATGGCTCAGAGGGAGCTCTGTGGCTTAGTGGTAAACTCTGTTGCTTACTGTTGTTAAAGTTGTGCTGCCTATTCAAAAGCGCTATATTCAAATCCACCAGCTGCTCCATGGCAAAAAGATGAACAATCTCCTCCTGTGCAATTTACAGCTTCTCTCCCCAGATGAACTTAACACAGTTAACTGAGAGTCTACCAGACTTTATTCTGAAGTAAATGGAAAACACAAAACCAACCTGATTAAACTCTTGAGCATGATATGATTTAAAAAAAAAAATTACAGCCTCTGAAAACCTGCTAGAGTCAGTTCTGACTCGACAGCAAACACCAACAGGATGGCTGGCGCAGGTGGTGTGGTCCATCGCATGTTTTGCCGCTAACTAAAAGGCAACATGTCTCCAGCTGTTTGAGTGCACCAGTGGTTCTTCAGGAGAAAGATGGCAGTCTCCTTCCATTAGGATTTACAGCCTCAGAAACCAGATGGAAGATCACTGTGAGTCTGAATGGATTAGTTAATGAATAAGTGAGCGAAGGTAGCTAAGATTTTAAAAAACCAAAGCCAGGAAATAACAAATGTTGGCAAGAATGTGTGCAAAGTAGAAGACTTATACATTGCTGGTGGAATTCGAAATGGTATAGTCATAGTGGAAAACGGTGTGGCAGTTTCTCAAAACCCTGAAAACAGAATTATAATATGACCTGGCAATTCCACTTCTAGGAATATACCCAGAAGACTTTAAAGCAGAGACTCAAATAGAGATTTGTACAACAGTGTTCACTACAGCACCATTCACAATATCCAAAAGACGGAGGCAATCTAAATGCTCACCAACAGAGCAAAATGTGGCGTATACATAGCACAATGGAATGGCATACTACTCAGCCAGCAGGAAAAATGAAGTGCATTCCATAACACGGATGGAACTGCAAGACATGCTGAATGAAACAAGTCAATCAAAAAGTGTAAAACTTGACTTAACATAAAAAAGTAAAAGTACAGAGATCAAAGTTTATCTGTCATTTTTGGGGGCAAGAAGACGAGTGGGACGAGGGATAACAGTGATGGAAATATCAGCTGATTATTGTAATTGTAAATTGTGCACCTACAGAAAGCTGAACTTGAAAAACCTGTGTGATAGATAAATTTACAACATCAAAAATACAACAGCTGCTAAGGTGGTTTATATACAACCAAACCCCTGATAGGGTTTGGTCCTTTGTCTGGAGGTTTAGGATGAGGGTTTCACGGGACATCCCAGTTAATCGGCCAAAATAACATGTTTCATGTTTCTTTTCTACTTCCTACTTCACTACATTGTCTGAAGTCTTACAGGAAGCCATTCAAGGCAAAACACCTCGATTTGCCTGGAACAAGAGAGGGAAAAGGAAAGTCAGGGTTGGAGAATATAAAAGATGGAGTTGGTTGTCTCCATGAACAACAGCCTCCTATGCCACGAAACCAAAAGAACTGCATAGTGCTTGGTTACCATTACGGAACATTGTGATCTAAGATTCTATAGAAGAATCTTGATTAAAAGGGGGAGAGTGGGGGGAAAAAAGGGAAAAGGAAAAAAAGGAATAAAAGGCGGAAAATGCAGAATAGAATTTAAAATTCTCTTAGACTCCAGACTTCTTAGAGCCAGAAAGGTTGGATAAGCATTTGAAACTACTGCCCTGTGATATCCTTTAAACCAAAGACTCAAAGAAGAAACTAGTCCAAAGGATTAATAGCTGGAGACCAGAAGCCTGGTTACCACTACTGACTATTCACACCATGGATAGAGTAAGAGAAAAATGTAGAACAAAGCTGTAATTCCTAAAAAAGACCAGACTTACTAGACCAACAAAGACTAGAGAAACCCCTGAGACCACTGCCCTAAAATGTCCTTTGAACATGGAACTGAAGGGACTCCTGGTAGTGACCTTGTACTCCAATAATAGATGGACTTATAAAAGAAACAATATCATCAGGAAATACTGTGCTTTCTCAAATAATCAACTATATGAGACAAACTTTATCTAAAATGAACACGAGAGGCTAAAGTGCGGCAGGGAAGCTAGATTCATGCAAACAGCACAAAAAGAAAGGAAAAAATGAGAATGCTGATAAAGGTAAAACACGTCACCAGTGTCACACAACACGCTGCTGCTGCTATTATGTTCCATCTAGGCAAAACCGACTCATAACTGATTCTCCAGTGAGTTTAAGGGCTATAAATCACATAGGAGATTACTCGTTTTTCTCCCATGGAGAAGCTGGTGGATTTGAATTGCCTTTGGATTGATTGTGCAACTCCTTAGCCACTAGGCCACAAGAGCTCCCTGTCTTGAAACAAGTTATATAAAAATTGTTAAATGTGAACCTAATTTGCTATGTAAACTTTCCCTTAACACACAATAAAATAGTAAAACAAACATGTTTGTTGTTGTTGTTACATACAGTCGTGTATGACTTATAGCAACCTAATCAACAATAGATCTGAATCCTGTCCTATCCTGTGCCAACCTCACAATCTCTGACACACTTGATTCCATTGCTGGAGTCACCAATCCATTTCACAGGGTCTTCCTCTCTTTAGCTGATCCTCCACCTTTTCAAGCATGATGTTGCTCTTCAAGAAATATCCTCTCCTAGCAACATGCCCAAAGTGTGAGATGCTCTATGGTCCTTGCCCTCAAGGAGCACCCTGCCTGCACCTTCTCCAAGACCTATCTGTTTGTTCTTTTGGCATCAATTCTTCTGTCATTATCTGAGTCAGAGAAAAATTATTATATAGATTCATGCCAAGAAAAATATTTGCTAGGAAACTGAGAGGACAGTGAATTTATGTTAATGACAGAAGAGCCGCTCAGAAAAGAAGGATTAAAATGAACACATCTCAAAGAATGCAAACAATGTCACTAATGGTACATGTACAAAATGATGAACTGGTGTATGTTTTGTTGTGTATATGTTCAAAATTTATTAAAATAGTACAAAGAATAGCAGTATTTAAAATTAATTTAGAAAGCCAGTAAGAGTGGAATATTTTCCATGATTCAAAACTAATGAAATAGCAGTAGAGTTTATTTACTGTACAGTTTTCTATTCTGTACTAATCTTATTCATGCAATATGGCACTACAAGTTGTTTCATAATAAAGCCTTAAAAATTATTTCTCTCTATAAAATATTGCCACAAGAGTCAGTGAATTGCTACACGAATCAACGAACTTCATAAATTTTAAAAAGCACAAATTTTAGACTTCTATTCTTTAGACTTCTATCAGAATTCAAAACATGATGATTACTTCAGAAGTCAAGGAATCAAGGTATCTGGTATCTTAGCAAGGGTTAAGAGAAAAACTGGGGATCATAAGATTGTTTTTAACCTCGTATAAAATGGCAAGAACCTTACATACTTGACCAGTGAAACGGTGCATTTAGTGTTCATCATTAATAGTAGTGTTTGACGTTTACCTAGTACATCCCAAATATAAAACACTTTCATACACACAGCTCATGAGAGGAAAGAAAGGCAGCTCCCATAATGTTACTTACAAAATTAAGTTATGAAGATAATACAACAAGAGGCATTGTTGACCTAGGTCTTCAAAATAAGAGCTTGGTTTTTTTCCTTATGAATATGTTCCTATGCTAAATATTGTTCTTCGTATTTAGAAGATTTAGGACTTTTAATAGTAAAATGCATTATACCAACCTGTGGACTGGATCTTGAATTCAAAGTAGCTTTTGTTTTGATGTAAGGGTGCACTGGCTAAGCAGCCTCCTGTTCCACATATTCTTCTTCCATTTTTTACAATTACAACATCTGTTCCTAAAAAAAAAAAAACCAAACAAAAAATATTTATTAAGGCTAAGAGTAGAATCTCAGAGCACTTAATTGTGCTTTTTTTTAAAATAAAAATTTACAGAGATTTTGTATTTCCATTCATTCATTGTTGCACTTTTCTCCTTCCTCCTTTCCCCCCTCAGTACACTCTTCTCTTTGAAAAGTAAAAGAAAAGTTTCCCATTGTTTTACAGTTCCCCCCTCCCTCCCAGGTCCACTCCACTATGCATCCTTCATTCTGGACTCCTGTCAAGATAATAATACCTAATCACATATCCCTTTTAAATAGTTTCTCCCTCATCTGTTTCAACGTAGTATACATTATTTATTCCATCTTTCTCAGTTTCCCCCCCAACCCTGATGTCAGTCCTGTTTTACAACAGTGGCACCATGCAGTATTTGTCCTTTTGTGACTGAGTTATTTAACTCAGCATAATGTCCTTCAGGGTCACCCATTTTTGAATAATGTTGCATGAGTTCCTTGTTTTTCAATGCAGCGTAGTATTCCATCGTGTGAATATACCACAGCTTCTCTATCCATTCGTTTGTTGATGGGCACTTAGGTTGTTTCCAACTCCTTGCTATCATGAACAAAGCTGTGATAAATATGGGTGTACATTTATCTGCTTGGATGTCAGTTATGGTCTCTTTGGGGTATATTCTCAGTAGTGGAATTGCTGGGTCAAATGGTATTTCTATTTGCACGTTTTTGAGAAAGCGCTGCACCATCTTCCACAGTGGTTGCACCATTTTACACTTCCACCAACAGTGAATAAGGGTTAAAGTTTCTCCACAACCTCGCCAGCATTTGTTGCTTGCTGTCCTGTTAAATTTTGCTATTCTTACTGGGGAGAGATGTTATCTCATAGTTGTTTTGATTTTATCTCTCTTAGAGCTAGGGATTTTAAACATTTCTTCATGTGCTTGTTGGCCATCTGAATGTCTTCTATGGTGAAGTGTCTGTTCATATCCTGTGCCCACACTTCAAGTTTACCTTTATCTTGTTGTGGTGTTAATTGTGCTTATGAGAAACTTATACTTAGCCCAAAAAGCTATTACCCAAACAGAGCCAGGGAACACAGCCTTTAAAATCAAGAAAGGTGTGTGTCAGGTTTATATCCATTCTCTACACCAATTTACTCTGTAACCTGAGCAAATAATTCAAGAAGATAGAATATATAAAGAAAAATGTGTAACCAGGATTGGAGGAGCAAAAAATCTATATTCTTTAAATAGGTGCCACTGAAAAATGTAGAGTAAAAAAAGTATCAATAATCTGTTGTACAGATGACACACCTTGTTTGTAGAAAGTGAAGATCTGAAATACTTGCTGCAGAAGATCAAAGATTACAGCCTTCAGTATGGGTTACATCTCAGTATCAAGAAAACAAATATCCCCACCACTGGACCAATAGGCAACATGAAATGGAGAAAAGATTGAAGTTGTCAATGATTTCATTTTACTTAAATCCATAATCAATATCCACAGTAGCAGCAGTCAGGAAATCAAACCATGTTTTGTATTACAGAAATCTGCTGTCAAGAACCACGCCAAAGTGCTAAAGAACAGGATGTCAGTTTAAAGATTAAGGTATGCCTGATCCAATCCATGGTATTTTCAGTTCCTTCTTATGCATATGAAAATTAGACAGTGAATAAGGAAGACTGAACAAGAATCGATGCTTTTGAATTGTGGTGTTGGGGAAAAGTACTGATAATCCATGGACTGCCAGAAGAACAAACATCTATTTTAGAGAAAAGTGCAACTAACATGCTCTTTATATGCAAAGACAGTCAAACTTCATCTTGCATATTTTTGGCATGTTATCAGGAGGTTCCAGTTCCTTGAAAAGGACAGCATGCTTGAAAAGATGAGAGTCAACAAAGAAGAAGAAGCCTCAATAAATGGAGGGACCCAATGACTACAACAATGGGCTTGAGGACATCGGAGATTATGACGACGGCACACAAGATTATGAAAACTGAGGGTAGCATCTAACAACAACAAATAAATGGCTGGATGTCTACTAAAGACAAGGTACTATTTCAATCAATAACGTGCTGACTCCTTTAGTCAGTAAGAATTGAAGACTACACAGACTGTGAATATGAGCAAAAGTCTAAATTCTTTACAGAGCTGCCACTGAAAAATAAATGTACAGTTTAAAACCGTATTAGTAGGGAGGAAGCTAATGATTCAATTAATAATCAAGCAAAACGTGCTTGGGACAAATGGGTAAGAGAAATGAAAACTTCTCAGGTCTTATCACAAATTCCATTTGGATTCTTTAAGAGATATCATGCTGATCCTTAAATAAAGTCGAACTAAGATCCTAATCTATGAGTGTGGAAAATTTATTAGCATTCATTTTTCTCTGATTATATATTAAATATATATACAGCACATAACAACAACATATATTAAACAGAAAATTCTGGGTTCTATTGTACATCTGATACCATGTATGCAGGGCCCACCTCTTCCCTAATATAATAGACTATGTGGCCTGTGCTTGCCTCTTGGCAGATGGCAAAGAAATGAACTTGTGCTAAGCAATGTATTGCAAACATACAGACTCTGTATTCCCATCTTTAAGTTAGACTTCTCTCTGAAGATCAAAACAGTTTCAAGGAAGTGGGTTCCATCTCTGGCTTCAAGGGTTTAGCATCTGACCTAGGCTAAGTCAGTCAGTGCATTCTGCATCTCTTGGTCATGGTAGTTGAGTAAGTTACAGGACCTTCGGCCCTATTACCAGGGACAGCATCAGAACTCTCACAGGGATGATGGGACAAGACATTCTCTTATTCTTCCTGGACCTGAATGGATACTTACAGCCCAGGGAGTTGCTGCAGGTCATTACCAAGTCAGCCTGCAGTAATAAACAAGCTGCAGAAAACGGAGCAGAGAGATGGCATGAAAGCTAGGCTTTGGCAGCTCAAAGTATATCCTAGAGCCAGTGTTGTCTCTGTACTTTTCAGTTACACAAACCAGTACATTTCCTATACTATTTAAACAATTCTGATTTGCACTTTTTATTACCTGCAACAGAAACGATCCTGAGTAAAATACATATTTCAAAGAACTATGCAAATAAATGTGTGGGGTTTTGTTTGGGTTTCTTCCTTAACTAGTCATGCTCTGTATACACCATCTGTTATGGATCAAATGTGTTCTCCCCAAATATGCATATATGTAATGATAAAACATGTAATGATTATGTAATGTAATGATCCCATATGGTCTGATAAACTAATTGAATGCAAAAGAATTAAGAGTAGGATGCAATCTTAATCTTGTCAAAGTCTTGATCAAACATAAAGTTCCCCTAGGTTGTGACCTGCAATATCTTTTCTTTTATAAGAAGATTTCAGTACCAAGAAGAAAGAGGTAGGGGCGGAGTATATCCTTTGGACATAGGCACCTGCCCTGGAGACCCCCTTGGCACAGGGAAGACACATTAGATTTCTAAGGAACTTAGATTCACAAATTAAAAGGAAACAAGGACTTTCCTGTAGAAGTGATAGAGATGGCCTTTCTCTAGATCTGGCTCTCTGGACTCTCACTTCCAGCCTCACTGCTGTAAAGTCAGAACCAACTCATAGTTGACCCTCCAGCAAGTTTTCAGAGGCTGCTAATCGCACAGGAGTAGACTGCCCATCTTTCTCCCATGGAGCTGCTGGTGCATTGGAACCACCAGAGAAGTAAGGCTTTTGGCTTATTAGAAGCACACTATGCCAACAAAGCTCTCAACATAGCAATAGAGTACATTTCAAGAAACATTAAAACTTTCCAAATGAATATCATCCATTTACAATTAGCTATCTTGGAAATGAATCATTCCTAAAAAGTTATCTTTTAAAGTTAATTCACAATTAAAAGCAGAAGATAATGGCATCAGTGAAGATATGTAAAAGTTATGCCACAGAATATTAAAAAAGTGAAATTCTAAAATGGTTTTAAGTATTATAGCACCACTAACAGAGATAACATTCATCTGAGTATGAAATATATAGATGGCTTCCTTCTTACATCAAGCTGTTGCCGTGATTAAACAACTTATGAAAAGATGACTAAGCGGGGGAAAGCTTCCTTGCTTGTAGAAAATTTGGGGTTGATTTGAATCTACTCCATCTAATTAGTAGCTGAAAGTTGCTAAGCAGCTTCAAAGAAGCTAACAGAAGTAAAGTGCACTCATCAGCTCTTTGTCGAAAAGCATGAGGTCAGAGAAAATGAATGTTCAAAGAGCAGATCACAGTAATTCAGGAGTTAGCGGGTAGATACAGGACGGGCTAAAGATGCTCATAAGGGGCTATGTATGATTGTCCTTTTGTTTTCAGACATGTATCCTGCTGCTTTGTCACCTCAGTCATTGTCCACAGGACTCTAAGAAGCTGCTGGAATATGCAGGCACAGACTCAAGGCCCACCTTTATCTCCAGTGTTGTGGAAAGGGGCTGTATATCACTGACAGAACCCTAAGCTTCCATATGCCACCTGGACAGAGCCTGGGAAGAGTGACCTCCCAGGAATAGCTACGTTGGAATATGATTGCTCTTTACTGTATTCCTGGTACCCCAAACAATGCTTGCCCCCTAATTAACCACTCAATAAATATGTTGAGGGGAGCTCTGGTGGCCTAGTGGCAAGAAGCTGTGCTGCAATCCCTAACATGGTGCAAATCCACCAGATGCTCCCCTGGATCTCCTCCTGTGCCTGTCAGATCCAATTCAACAGTAAACAAACAAACAAAACATTGATTGAATGAATACATGACATGGAAATGTTTTCTGAGGAAAATGAGAAAATTTAAACATTGTCTATAAGTGATTACTGGTAAGACATAATTTGCATGGCAGACATCCCTGGTGACACAGGTGTTTGACTACTAGATAAAAAAGGCTGGCAAGCTTCCGAAAGGTCACAACAGTTCTACTCTACACACACACACACACACACACACACACACATATACACAGGGCTGCCATGAGTCAGAACCAACTTGAGAGTAACTAACAGCGTTACTCATAGTCTGTCTGACAGTGTGTCATACTGTAGTGGTCTGTGTATTGCTTATGATGCTGAAAGCTGTACCACTAGCATCTGAAATACCAGCTGGTGGGCAGGTTCCAAACAAAGACAAACCAAAAAGAGAGGCTGTGTGATCTACTTGCAAAAATTAGCCATGAAGACCTTTTGCATCACAACCCCACAGTGTGACTGGCTGGCATTGGACATGCCATCAGGAGGGTTTAATCATGAGAAGAGGACATCTGATAAAGCAGAGGGACAAAAGGGTGAGGGAGACCCTTGGTCAGGTAGACTGGCAGAACAGTCACAATGACACATATGACAACTCTGATGAGCGTTAGGAGGGCGCAAGACCAGGCAACATGTCATATGTGGTTGCTACTCTATGGATCATAACAAACCATGGCTGACTCTGAGAAGAATGGGAATCCCAAAACACTTGATCGTGCTAATGAGAAACCTATACTTGGACCAAGAGGCAGTCGTCAGAGCAGAGCAAGGAAGCACTGCATGGTTCAAAATTGGGAAGGATGTACGACAGGAACATGTCCTATCTCCATACCTTTTCAACCTGTATGCAGAACAGATTATCCAGGAGGCTGGGCTCTATGAGGAGAAGTGTGGCATCAGGATTGGTGGAA